ATTTCATTCGATGGTGTTTTTTGTGTTAGCAATTATGGTAGAAGGAAATGAAAGTAGCCGGCTAAGGATGGCTAACTAGACAGCGGTTTTGGCCGGCTACCGGCCCTTATTGACAGCCCTGATTGTTAAGTACATTTGTGTACATCAATGTCTTGTTTAATGTCTGTAAACTGATTGCTTCGCATTTGCCTTTGCTCGCCTGGAAAACGCGAAAAGAAAAGCCTCCTCTACGGACTGGACTCCAAGCTGTGGATTCTGGATTCTTTGTCAGAGGAAGTTGGGTTCGGGATTCCAAAGTCCCTGATTCCAGATTTCACAAGCAAGTATTTGCCAGATTCCAGAACCCAGATTAGCTTACATGGGGGCAAGACTGAGGTGGAGAAAGACAAAATGGCCCAAAGTATTTTGTCTAGCAAGACGACAGACTTGTTCAGCCAAGGTTCAAGTCATAATGCTTAAATCTGTAACAAGCTTGGCGTCAGTAACTAAAGGCAAGCGATACTAAAGAGTACCTACCTCTTGGTGGGTCAGCAACGATGGGTGGTCGGCAGTTGCTCTAGTGAAGTTAGCTACCATGGCAGCAACAGACAGCTACAAAACAACCAAAGAAAGTACATTGAACCACTATAAATTATAATGCGTTTAGTCCAAAACCAGCTGCTCCCAAATGAACCCATTTCCAAATCAAGAAACTGCAGAAAACCAGCAAGACAGACCCCCGTTTTTACAGTTCAATTCTGCCATGCACGTACATGATAAAAGACCTTCTTTGCCTGACTTTGAACAACTGAAATTTACACTACAGTATGGATACACATCATGTTTGTTTCTGGTACATTTGGACCTTTCATTGTAGAGACCTCTATAATAAAGACACCACGCTTTTAGACAGTTCTCTAAGTCTATACATTTCTACGGCTACAATATGGACAACACAAGTAAAACGTCCACTCAGTGAAACCTCTTTAATATGGATACCCTTGAATTGTCCATATTGTACGCTTACAATACTATTCATGTATTTTGAAGTCACAAAAACGATCTTCAGACATACCTGTCTTGTTCCATCAGCCAACAAACATCCAGGCTAAACAAATAATAAGGATAATAATAATAATAATAACAAAATGGTTAGTCCTTTTCTACAAAAATGTAACTATGTCACTCTTGCTCCCCAGGTTGGGTTTGGGTTCAAATTGCAGCAGACAGCATTGCATTGCCAACAACCTTCTGGAGGGTTATTTAATCTCTTATACCCCGTGATTACCATGGGCTTTTTTCTCGCCTGGCAGGATTCTTTGGCCAACCGTACATGAAAAGTCTCTGGCACCCACAGTACATCACTCGCTAAACTTCAGAATACCTGACTCACCCAAGTCATCTCTCAGTTTCCTAATGATAAAAAACAAGAGAAGCGCAGGGGAGAGCGAGGACTGATATCAACCCTTGTGCTCCCTTTGGTCACGAGAATTATCCTAATAGAGACTACTGGGATGAGTCAGAAAATACGCAGTCACTTTATACATCTTTAAAACTGCTCCCACAGTCTAAGATTAGAAATATTTGAGTTTTTGATTTGGAGTTGCTATCACTTTTTCCCGACTTGACTGTTACTTTACTTTAAGTTGCAAAGAAATGATCAATATGTGTTTCTATTCACCTGCAATCCGAAGCAAGCTGCATGACTGAATTTGCCTTCTCTTGGAAACAGATCGAGGTAGAAATAACCTATGACATCACCAGATGCTACATCTTTAACACTAAACTACAAATTAAGTAAAGAAGACTTTAATCAGCCAAACGACTGTAAGCTCGTAAAAGTGTCAGTTCATATACATGTATTACAACCCAGAAGGATTATTCTCTATATGTTTCTTAGCCTGCGTAGCATGGTGGTTTTGGTTGGGGCACAAAGTAATAAAGGCGGGTGATGGCAGAGAAACTGCGAGGAGATTGGGGCGGGTGCCACTCAGTAATGTGTCCGGCAAAACCGCCATACTACACAGGCTATACTTTTCTGTACAGGGAATTTGTCAACAAAACTCTAAAACCCTCAAGCACCAATAATAATAATTTATTATACCAGGCCAAAAATGTTTACCTACATTTGGCAACCCTCCCTTTGACAAGCTGCAGAAATCTGCATCCTTTGCCACCCTTAATCCCAAATCTCTACTTCTTGACGTCTTTTGTAACCTCTTCATTCCCTAAATAAATTCATTGTGCCACATACCAGACCATAAAAAATTCCCCTAAATCACTTTCCCTGATGTTGCATTTCACACACTTTCCTTCACCTTTTTTTTGAATGCCATCAGTAATACATTTTTCTCTCTTCAACATTTTTCGTGATGTTTTGAAGAGATCCCTTTTTTTTGCACAGAAATTAAAGAAGCAGTCCTGTTTATCTTTTTTTATACTTCTATATCAAACAAATTTGCACTTACCATCTGAATGTCCTTGTGCCACACATGAGGGTTTTGAATTTCCTCAAAACGTAGACCCAATAGCTCCTACGAAAAATAGTTATTTTAAAACGATAATTCTACTGTCGCAAAAAAATGTGATAATTATTTTAAAGCACATATAAGTTGCTGTATGCAGAAGAGAACACGATAACAATCTCTTTAAAATGTTATACAAAATTCAAAAGTCAAGAAAAAAAATACAAAGTACCTGATAGATATCCAGTAGGCCTATGGGAGAAAAAGGAAGAAATATTTAACAGAGCGCATTTTTTAAAGAATTGCAGAAGTTTGAGAAAAACACCAAATCTTCTGTGGAGACAGAGGTTCAGAGTGGCACAGGACACACCCCACCTCTGTCCTACTCTTCATCTTTTTCTAATTTTTCTGTGAGACTGTCAATTGGTGAGTTGAAAAGGCAGCAGAAGCTGGCAAAGTACAAACTACCTTGAGGGAATGAGCCTGTAAGTTTATCACCCTTCCCAGTTTTTGTGGTGTTTTGAGCTTGGGGATGGGGATTGACCTCAACAACAACCATAAACGTCGCAGACTATCAATAGTCTACCCCCTCCCCCTCCCTCTCCCCCCCACAACTACATCGCCTGTCATCCTGGCCTCCACAGGCACTCTGCACTCCCCCCAGATTTTCTTTGCCACATGAAACTAACAATCACTCTCCACACTCTCCACAATCCCAAGAGAAAAAAACTGTCAACAATCTAGGAACTACCCTACTTCAGCCATACATACCCTTGGTAACTATATGTAGAGGGAAATACTCCTTCAGCTTGTTCTGATCTACCGCATACTTTTTCTCTTCCACCATGGTCATGTAATAGCGCATATCCCAGTAGTTGATTTTGCCATCATATTCATGTCCCAACTCTTTGCACTACAAGAAATAGCCACAAAAGGAAAGTGAAGTGTGAGAACTGGGGAATGAGGATGCTAGAAATAACCTCAGTGGTGTCGTACCTGGAAGATTCACAATTTATTAATATAAAAACTGTGAAAACATGATAATTTGACTCATGACAATAACATGCTATGTTCACATGTGAAAGAATCACCACTGTTAAGGTTACATAATAAAGTGACATTGTTTTGTGTTACATTAGTGTGTGTATATTTAATATATTATTTAATTATTTTTATTAACATTACCGTACATGGCCACTTGGAGATAGAAACTTCTCTTCTCATGTTGAAAAAATAATACTTCCCAAATGGGGTTATTTATTTTCAGCATTTTAAAAAAATTAGATTTGCAAATTTTGCTGAGTTTTGCCTAATGGCTTTGTTGAGAGTGAATGGTTTAATTGGGTTAACATGTGCATATATACCTCAGCTTCTTTCAAACTTAACATTTCTAACAAATCTGCATCGCCAAGGGGTCTTAACTTGCTGCACAACTCTGACAGAAAACTGGAAACTGCCTCAGCTGTTTTAGACATCCGCAACTAAAATAAACAGACAGAAAAGCATATCAATATGCTATGCAGTGACAGAATCAGAAAAATGGTGGCCAGTCCCACCCCCTCATTAATCAAAATGTTGAGATGTAAACTTAATTCTTATAGTATAGAACACAACTTTCATACATCACTTTATTTTCTGTTTTGAAATCTGAGACACTTAATGGCACAGCCATATATACTTGTATGTAGCACTGTACTTCCCTTTAGTTTAAATAACTTTTGTTCTGCACAAAGGTTTTCCAATTTGAAATGATGAGAGAATCTCAAACAGATTAGCGTCTATCCTTTTCTCTTGGAGGCATGTGTCACTGAGCAGGTAACACCTCAAACTCCAGACCTGAAGGTCTGCGGTTCAAGCGTCCCCCATCGCATTGTTTTCTTAGACAAGGAGCTTTACTCCACTTTGTCGTTCTTCAACCAGGTATTTAAATGGCCGGTACCGGTGACAAACTGCTGGGGACTAGTGCTAGCCCCTGCGATGGACTAGTATCCTGTCCAAGGGGGAGGGCGGGGGGCGGGGGAGTAGCAATGCTCCTATGCATGCTTCATGCTAAGGTAACCGGGATAAGCACCGGCTGTTTGGGCCTTTGGCTTGTGGTTTCCTTTACCTTTACTTCTCTTGAATTTAGCCAATGATAGCTATTTGTTCTTGTTTAATCAATAATATTGTGCATGTCAGTATAACGAGAGTACTGAAATACCTCAGTGATGTAGCTTGCATGTGTGGGATAGCCAAGTAAGTCTGCCATCTACATCATAAAAGTAGCACAAAAACTATTAATGTCTAAAAATTTTGAAAACAAATTTGTTCCAATTTCTCTAAGCACTGCAAATGACAACACACATATTGACGGAGATAAAGCCTGCAGAAGGTAAAAAAGGGATCTGAGTTAAAAACTTCAAACAAAAAATGGATTGCAACAACTTAAATATTTGTAGTAAACACATAGTAAACAAAATTTCATTCACATTTCATTGTTATATAAGCAACAATTTGTAGCATACTTGTAGCTAAGGTATATAACATGGAGTGTGTATTTTGAAATAATATAAATAACATTTATTAACCATTATTATTATTATTATTATTATTATTATTATTATTATCATTATTATTATGCCTGCAGAATATACCTTTTTTCTAAGTTCTACAAGTTCTTCTAAAATTGGAGTGTTTTCCTGAATGCACCTGGAAAAGAAATGAATAAAAAAATCTTGATAAACAAGTCTGTCTGACCCCATTTAAACCATGCTAGTTCACTATCTATGAGAAGAATACATGTACATGCCTTGGTCACACAAAGAGGCTCAACTAAGTCAGTCCATAAAGACAAACTCCTTCAAGCAGCAACCAAAGATGATTATCATTATAATTATCATATCATTATCATTATCAGTGTTAGTATAATATTTTCAAGTATTTCCCAGGAATTACAAAGGAAGTGCAAACCCCTGTCATTCAGAGCACAGTATCATTATCGATATCAATATCAATATCAATATTGTTATCATTATCATTATAGCTATCGTTGTCGTTATCGTTATTACTATCATCATCAATGTAAGTATATTTCCAAGGATTTCCCAGGAATTACAAGGGAAGAGCACATGCAGCAACAGAGCATAACAAACTATGTACCTCCGGTTGAATGCATATTCTATTCTTTGCCTGGTTTTTGGATTGGATGCTTTTCTTGTTATGGGAAAGTAGTGAGGATACTTCAGTGTGACTTTGTTCAAGCCAGCATCAGTCTAAATAAAAAACAATAAACTGATGTCAGTCCCACAAATGCTGTTCGCCTTGGAAACCTCATTCCTGGAGATGGGTATATTGGTGGCTTGAGTTTATTTGCTGCTGGTTTGTGTACATATACTTGAGCTGAAAAGGTAATTTTTTTCTTTAGATTCTCTAGTTTTCCCTTCTTCACAATATTTTATCTGGAGTATGGTAAAAGAAAAGTCACATTCAGCCATTGAATTGTTATTTGCTTCACTTCCAAAGCATACTACAGTCAAGCAAGATAAATGATAATGACATTTTACAACAATCTTTGTAATTATTATTTTCTGGCAGGTGCTGAAGAATCACAGGTCACTTCCAACAGTATGTTTTGAATTGATAAGAGTGATATGTATCAGATACAATATTACTGTCAGTACCTTTTCTAGACTGTTGATAAAATCCTCCTGCATACCAGCTAAACACAGGAATAATAAAAAGTTAAAAGTTTAATGGGGTTTGACGGTTGAGTGTTACTGATAGCCAAAAGGGTAAATACATGTACAAATGTAAAACAAAAGAGCAAAAAGAAATGATGACTATAGAAACAAAGAAAACAAAGGGAAAATGCAAAGAGTTACTCTGGATATAATAGGGAGTTTAAGATACAACGACGCGGACGTGACGAAAGCCGACCGGAAGTAAAAATACCCAAAATGACTACCACTGCGCATGATCGTGACGTAAACAAGCTGCGTCCTTGCTCAAGACGAATGCGCTGAAGACCATTTTGACGTTGTTGACAAACTGTAAGTATTTCAACCTATTTTGACTTATTTAAGACAGTGAATTGGCACTTTTTGTTTGTATATTGAAAGCTTAATTATCCCGGCTATATTCCTCACGTTTTTTTTTTGTTGTTGTTTCCTTTCAGGCTCAGTTGAACTTGCGAACAGTAAACACAAGAAACATCAGTTGCCATGGCCTCGAATTCCAAACCGCAGTGAGTAGATTTTTGCATTCTTCGTTCAGTGAATTACGGCTAAAGAAACAAAACGATTTGTTGTATAAAAGCAATGTTGTTCCCGATTATTTCCTTCTTGTCGAAGATTTTCCCATCCTGATTAAATTTATTCACAGATCTTGGTTACTCGCATTACGCTTCATTTTGCGGGAATTTAATTCACGCACTATTTCCCGCAGAAGTTGTGTGAGATTTTAAAGAAAAGACAACAAAACAAATTAACAGAAACATGTAAAGGACTATGTTTGCCAAATAAGTGCCTCTGACGGCAAAATGTTTGCTTTATTAAGCAGTTCCTACAGAGTAGCGGGTTTATAACTTTACACACACTTGGCTTGGCCAGCCGACGTCCAAGACTTTGCCGCTGTAAACGATAGATTCAAATTATTTTCTAAAAGTGATTTCCGCATATAGTACAACATTCAAGGTTTGCTTTAATTTTCTTGTAGCTGTGCACGTATATTAAAAAATGTATATGTCGCTTATTTTTGTCGGCAGGATTATGAACTGGACGGAGGAACATGATGTGGTTTTTTGCCGAGAAATAATCTTTGTAAACCCATTCAGTGCAAAGAAGAAATCCGTTCAGCGAAGTGCCTTGTGGCAAAGAGTGGCGGATACCCTAAACAGCATTAAAGATCCTGTTTTTTTTGTGGATAAACGCTCAGTTCGAGACCATATCGGGGTTTTGGTGCAAAGATTTAAAAGAAAAGAGGCCAAGGAATTGAAGGAAAGTGGTATAAGCCCTACGAAAACTGAATTAGATGAAGCTATAGAACAAATTATTGCCATGGAAGAGTCTGCCGATGAGCAGCACGACCTGGAAGACGGCGAAAAGAGGGACAAGATGGAAGGAGACAGGCTGAAAGCAGAAGAGATGCGCAGAACTGCTATGGAGACATTAGGGAAAACACAGAAGAGAAAGTCCGAGGAGGGGCAGAGCAAAGCGAAAAAAAGCAGAAGAAGTGGTAGTGAAACGGTAGAGTTTCTTAAACTAAAGGCGGAGCAAGACATGGATATTAAGAAGCAAGAATTGGATTTGAGAAAACAGGAGCAAGAGAAGATGGCTATAGCCCAAAATCAGCAAACTTATATGTTCAACCAAATGTTAAAACAACAACAGGAACAGCATAAACAAATGCATGACATGCAATCCTTACTAATGCAGCAGCAGCAGCTGCAAACCACAGCAATGATGAAGATTATTGAAACACTAGTTCCGAAATAAACAAACTCGGTTTTTTTTTTAATTCCTTGCGGTGCTTCAGGTCTCGGTTTACTTTGTTGTTATATAAACTTGAACTAAGTTGGCCTGGACTTCAATCCGGCGAAAGACAATCAGAACTGTAACCGTGTTAGATGTTTAATGACTGGAGTTTGGACTTTATTTCCACGTGTTTAGAAGGTTAAAAATTTACATTTTTCATGACTGGATTTAAATTGATGCTGACAGCCATAATAAAGCCAAGTTATTCGTTGTGTTTAATTTTATTTGACATTGATTTACTTTTCTTGGTATCTTCCCATATAAACGCAGAACAGTTTTTAGGTCTTATGTTGGGTGGTTACAAAACAGCATGATTAGGAAAAATAATGCTCTAGAGAAGGTGGATCTAGGTCAAAAAACTGGGATGTTGAATTACCGTACAAGCATGTTAAAACATTTTGAAGGATTGCACAGACAATGTACATTTTGCCTACTTGGCTTAGCCCTATTTTTAAATTCCGTTTGAAATCAAGAAATTTGAAATAATTTAAAATATCAGAAAAAAGCCATTCAACGGAACAGCGAACTGCACTCATGGAACTGTTGTAAGCTTGCTGTTGGGGAGTCAGTATTCGCTGCCGGAAAGGTCCCTGGAGATGCATTCGAAGGGGATATGCTGGATCCCCGTATATACACATCGGTTGGCCAGTTGTTGAGACAGCATGCGCCCTGAGACTGTTGTAAAGGCCAGACTCTGCCAACATTGCTGCGTCATGCCTCCTACCTTCTGTTTAGACAAGATAAGAAACTTAAGTTAATAAATAGAAATCAGTGTTGATATGTTATCCATGCAGTTTACTTCTTTACTGACAGAGAGTGGCAAGAGAAAATGGGCCGGTGGGGGTGAGGGTGAGGGTGGTCAATGGAAAAGCCCGTGAAATTCGAATTTGCTTTTCTCACAATTGTTTTAACCCTTCTTCTTATAATAAGCATAGTAATTGGGAGGAGACTTAAGAAAGAGTAAGTAATGAAAGCAATTTTAGATCTTCCTAGTAGGTTTGTTTGTAGGGTAACTGAAGTGGAGGCTTGCAAGCTAAAATATTATTTTTAGTTTGTTAGCAGCGTGGCTTACCAACTGGACCATACAAGTGTGCAATTAACCCATTCGGTAGGACCAAGGACTGAAACTTTAATCCATGTACGCGTTTGTGACCGTTGTAGAGTAGTCGCTGGTTTTCCCCAGGTCGAGTAATTGGGCGCACGGTTCCATCTACGAAACCAAAGCAATTGCTTAGTGGCGCACCTTTGTTGAAAACAACTTCCGCATACTTTTCCAGCTCCAGTGGATTTAAAATGGTTTGGTTCCACTGCGTGATTCTGTGGCTATGATGCGCATAAATCCAGTCTGTTACGGTGTTGCTTATCATACAAAGTTCTGGAACCGGTCGTCCAAAAATAGGTATCATGTCGGAGTACCGACAAGGAAAGGCATATCGCTTTAAAAGCATACAAAGCCCTTCTGTTCCTTCGCAAACCGTTCCCTGGTCGCATACGAAGAATTGCGGAATTTGAAGAACATCTTCTACCAGAGGAATGTGGTGCTTTTCAACCCTGAAGTTCGCCCTACACTCAGCTTCACTTTGGCTCTCCAGATTGAACGGCGGGTAGTTGTCGTAAGGGAAATCTAAGTTGCTTGAACTGTTTTCTTCGAAAAGTAAAGAAAATTCCTCATCCGTAATGATACCACAGGCATAGCTAGCAAGCAAAACTTCTCGGGTTTCTTTAAAAGTCGCCATTTGCACTAAAAACACTAATATAATTAGTATCTGTTACTTCGGAGAGAAAAACAAATTCGCTACTTTTCTTTTCTATCAATAAGTGGCCGCGTCGCTGAATCCCGCCATCTTAACTTATTTTTCCCGCCACAAACACGGCGTCCTCGACACAGGCCCCACGCGGCTACGGCATCTTTGATGACGTCCGTGTTCTTGTATCTTAAAGTCCCTAATGTTAAACCCAACAAAAATAGATGAGTTTGGGAGTTGAGGTCAGGGGATCTGGAAAGCAACAAGGCATGGGCAAGAGGTATCCATAGCAACCAACAGTAGGCAGCGACCACCAAAGGCATTGAACATTTACACTGAACAGCCTGGTTGGTGGAATACTTGCCACACCCAATACTGACAAAAAGGGAGGCGACGGAAAATGCTAGGAATTTTTGAAGGTATAATGACCCACTTGATACAAGTCAACCACTAGCAAGCATAGAGAAACATTGCTCGACTGGAATTATCATAATATTAACTACTTTTTTGAAACAGTTCTAACTTTTAACCCTTGATACATAAATTATGTACAATTTATTGTAATTTGCCCACAGAGGAAACTTACCTAATTCTTCATTGGTAAATTCTAAGATAGTGTTCTCCTCATTCAAATTTTTGTTAAAATCAATTTCCAGACTGCTCATACGAGATTTGATTGCCTTGATTTCTTTTTGAACTTCTTCTGGTAAATGAAGACCTGGCAGATACAACAAAACAAATTAACGGCATGTGCACATGCCAGGTTGATTGCTAATCATTTTTTACATCTCCAGTCTTCAAAACTGAAAGTTCTAAATTTTCTAGGTGATGGACAACACATTTACATTAAGAAACTCGATGTATAGTATTTCAGTGAGATACACAGTACATACCATTTCTTTTACCCAGTTTGATTAACCTCTCCAAAACTCGAGAAGCCTCAGATGACAAAGGCCCTATATTTCTCTCCTATGGAGAAAAAAAATTATACATGAACTTACAACGTACATGCATGATTAACCCTTTAAACCCTAAGATCAAAATTGAGATTCTCATTTACTGTCCCTATACTTTTTCAATAGAAGTAGTGGGGAGAATAATTTTTGATAATGATGACATGGAATCATCAAAACGTCCCAGGTGAAACTTTCAATTTAACAATAGTAGTATGAGAAAAAGGACCAATGACATGGAATAGTACCTCTGATCTGTAAGCAGTTAAAAAAACCCTAGTCATGGATCAGTAGTTAGCAAAAGAGTGGTTTAGTCAGCCTCTAGAGACTTTGCGTCACTGGTTTGAAATAGAGCAGCTGTATCGGGGAACGACTAAATTTTGGTCTGAAAACACAAAATAACTAATAATAACGTTTGATAAAACCTACCTTGAAAGCCACAAGATTGTCAAACACATCCTTTCTCATACTGAAAATGAGGGAAGATTAAATGCAATGTCAGATAATTTCCTTATGATTAAATTTTGTACAGTGTTTAGGTTCTGTTCAGTTTCTGTTCAATTTCTTTTTTCCGTTTGTTTAAGTGCACAATGTACTGCTATACACAGAGATGAGGGAAAATACAAATCAAGAACAAAACAAAAAAAATAAATTAAACCATTATCACACACAGGTATAATATGCACTAATATGATTTCATTAGCAGACAAAAGGTGAACAAATACAGGGTGTCCAGCGGCATGGTTGCTCAAAAAAATAGGAAAATAGGAAACTCAGGATTGAGAAAACAGGAGAAATAGGAAACTTTGCATTAAAAAATAGGAGAAAAATAGGAAAATCAAAAGTACTTTCGTCGACAAAGATAGCTTCCCTGTACTCCATAAGGGTTATAATAAAGGCTACGAGTCCTCAGATTCTATGTTCACAGGATTTAGATCAACTTTCGTGGCTAAGAAGGAGTGAAAATCATCAGTAACGTTTAGTTTATTGGCTCTGTTACGCTGTATCAAATCGGAATGATATGACTGACTACAGGTCGAGCGTGGTTCTATAATCAAAGGTGATCATATGGAAATCCCCTTCAAGTTGACGGCAAATCTTTCAAAAGCTTTGAAGAGTGAAATTTCTTAGGATAGAAATTTCTTACGATTGAGTTGTCATTGAAGGATATCGAAAAAAGTCCTTTGGAAAGCTTTCCTTCCATTAATCTGCAATCGGTGGCTGGTTGAGAATATGGTTGTTTGAGTCAAGAGACCGCGTAATTTTAAGTACGGAACCGGGCTCTCCGCGGTGTATGCAAAATGACGCTGGATGATTTATCTGGCCTGTGTTGTGAGAGGACAACTTGATCCTGTTT